GTTATTAATTTTCTTGAAAGACACCTTACCCTATTCACAGGACACAAGAAACAAGGAAACAGGATAGATAGCGCGAGACATATCTAACATTGAATGCCTGGCTAAATATATGTCTAGTGATGAATACAAATATATATAAGAAGACAGGTGTAGTCCTGTCCAAGTTGCATAAAAGTAAGATAAATTACGAGAAAAATAAGTTCGACCTCATTCTGTATGCACATACTATTTGCATTACCCAGTGAATCCAATTCGTTTACTCTACTGAATGATTTACTAGAATAACTGACATTAAACAGTCTTTGGCTGCATTTTCTCTCAGCTTCAGTCGATAAGTTACTCTGAAGCTATAATACTGTTACGACAGCGGGAGTCATGTGACGCTAGTAACACGTCATGAGCTTCTAGAAAATTCATGTCCCTTCGTGAAGCCTCGAGTGTTTGCTAGATGTGGGGTATTCTTGTATATAAGACCGCCAAGAAGTGACGGCAACAATGGAATTGATTGCAGACAGAGATAGAGACGGACAATTGAGTCAAGCGCGTGAATCGTTTGTTCGTTGTGAATTATAGTGTTTGTTTAAGTAATAGCGTGACTGTGGAAATTAAGTGTTTGGTAAAGTTGTATTAACAAAGAATAAACTAGTTTTATTTAAGAAAGGACTTGTATCGCTAAAGTTTCTTCGGAAAGAAATTTTACGGAAAATTAACAAACGAACACAGAGGCGTGTCAATAATTTAATGATGGCTTACTAAAATTTGAGAAAAAAAATCGTGTTTGAATGTTAAAATAAACGAGCTCTCATTTGAACCATTTTCTCCACATGTATGATGATCTCATCATGATTATGGTTCCACTTCATGGAACTATGACACCATGTCTGCCTGTCATGGCGGCCTAGCAACGCATCCCTATGAACGCGCCCTCTGGAAACGCTTCATGTAACTATGACGTTATCCTCTCTGGAGACTTCCTTGCATGGCGCCAATGCCCTTTGGTGGAACTATGATGTCATCACCTCTATATCTTTCTTCTCCCCCTTCCTATTGTCTGGCGACTTCCACTGAGGTGACATCCTTTGGGCACAGGGATACTGCCCCAACTACTCATGATAACACATGATAAATCATTAGTCTTCTTTTTGACAATACCAGAGACACCCAAAAAGTGGAAGACTAAATTAACCAATCAAGGAGCATTTCATCCACTTGATCATGTAACACTTGTAACTTATGGGAGAATAGTGTTAAGGTTTACTGAACACTAGCTTTTCACTTATAGTTATAATACTATGTTCAGACAAATATGTGAGGCCAGGCTTATTGTTAAAATATCCGTATAATTTAATACAATCTCTCTTAATTGTTAGCCTTCTTTACTCTTTAAATGTGAACACTGTACAACTTTGATTAGTATCTTTTCAGCCTTGGAGTCACGCCTAACAGATGACATATTTATTTCAAGAAAATTTGTGAAAAAGGTTTAGTGTAGTTTCAACTCACTTAATAAGGTCTAACCCAATGAGACAAAGTATGGCTAAATCTTTAACAACGACAAAACATTGGTCCATAATACTATTTGTTTTAATAGTTTGGCTTCAAAGTATCCTAGTGGTCGACAGTTAGTCATTCCATCTGCAAGACAGTGTCACTTTTATTCCAAGTTTTTAACTGAAGTGTTTTGTTATTTCTGATGATTTGTTGCCACATATTTTCATGTATTATTGAATAATCCGACCCACTTTGAATACGACCTACTACTTTCCCACCATAATTTTTAATGTTGGGTGTGGCAAATTAGTTTTAGTTATAATTAAATAATTGATGGATGTGTTGCGTCAGCGAGGTCGCGTGACTAGTATCACGCCACTTCCTTCTCGAACCTTCGTGAATTGTCGGGAGATTACTAGATTGGAGGTAGTCTGGTATATATAAGATGGTCACAACGTGACGGGACAATGTGTGCAGGTAATGAGTAATTGAACTGCAGTCAGAGCGTGTGTAATTGAACGGAGTATTGTTGAAGTCGAGCTCGTGAGACGTGAGTTATAGCGTTTGTTAAAGAGCGACTGTTGAAATTAAGTGTATCGTAAAGTTGTATTCGGAAAGAATAAACCAGTTTTATTTAAGAAAGGACTTGTGTCGCTAAAGTTTCGTTGGAACGAATTTACAGAAAATTAATTAACGAACGAACGGAGACGTACCAGAGGGTTTTCTTTTTAATGGTTTCAAAACCCCTTCTTTGACCCCTAGTCTCGTTTCCCGACTGCTGTCTTTCGTCTTTTTGTTTCATGTTTACATATTTTACTTTCTTAGGACAATGCAAAGATAAGTGCCCTGTTTGATTACAAGTATAGCATTGTATAGGTGTGTTCCAGCATTCAGTTACACTAATCACTCCTCTATTAACAGCTTCTTGCTTTTTCCTCCAACGTTTGCTCATATTGTTTTGTAAATTTTAACAACTCAACAAACGGTACAACAAAGTAGCATTCCAAGTATTCTCGTAAAGAAACATGTAAATGTGATATTATACAATTCACAATTTTTCTCTTTGTTGCTTCAGGGTTACATAATTTATACGTTTTAACAGTTTTTAAAATAAAGGTCTCAACTGACTGCCCTGTATTAGCGTGGTACTTCCTACTAAAAATATCTTTAGTTAATTCTATGTTGTCTAAGACTGCTGGGTATAAATTAGTCAAGGTTTCTGTAAATTCTCCCCAGTGCTCCAAAGTCATTTCTGATCTGAAAACCTTCCACCATTCTAGTGGCCCTCCCCTCAAACATGAAGCTGCATGCAATTTCCACCTATTTATTCTCTATTACTTGATACATATAACAATATCCTTCAAAACCCTTAATAAAACCTAATATATTAAAATATCTTACTGTCGAACTTCTCAACAGGCAGGGGTGATGGATTGACTACAGTGACGTAACTCGATTAATTTTCTACAAGGCTACTGTTAGAATGAACTTTTGAAGTTTGAGGTGGATGAGAAGGAGACTTGGTTTCTCTTGGGTAGAACAAGATGTCGCGACAACCAGGGTCGAACTAAACAAAGTATTCCAAAATTAAACCAATATCAAGATCAATAACAATATTGAACAACAATATAACTAAATCTCGTGAACTAGCTCGTTTAAGATTAAAGAAGGGTTTTTATTTAGTGGTCAGACATCTCAACATTAATTTACAACTTGAGCTAAAAACAGCTGAATAGTATTTACGATTAAACTAATTATTTTGTTTATGCGACTTTATAATTTTCATCGGTTTTTAATTTCTCTTTGCCCCCCGCCCCCCCACCAGTGGTACAGCGGCATGTCTGCGGACTTTCAACGCTAGAAAACAGGTTTCGATACCCGTGGTGGGCAGAGCTTTATGTAGTTTTCTGCATAACTACAAACAAACAAAGAATTCACCTTTTTCATATTTGATTGTAAAATTAAATGGATTTTACTACAATTAAATGAGATAAAATGTTAGAAATTTATGGGAAAAAAAATGTTTTGAATAAAATACAGTTTGCTTCAAGACTTATTTCGGTGTTACTAGCTGATTTTTCAGGATTTTTATACATAGTATTAATTAAGATTTTACAAAATTATCAGTGGAAGCACTGGCGCAAATCAAAATTACCCCCTCTATAGAAGCCTAAAAGCTGTTTTCTCGCTGAAAGATAGGACTACGTATTGAATTTAGGGTCAAACGAGGATAGGCCTGCTTTATTATTTTCAGCTGCTGAGTGAGGGTTTTAGGTGAGTAAGGAAAGTGTGAGAAGGTAGGCTAATTGATAACTGTACTGTTGAGATATGATGGGCTATTTTGTATTTGTGTCTTAATCAAAAAATTCAAAACATTTTTTGCAATTTTCGTGTAGGCGGATGTTAATTTGTGTCAGTTATTATCTACATAAGTACATTAAAATAAATTCACCTGCAATTTCAGTTAATGTTGAAAAACCGCCATCTTGACACAAGACCAATGACAGGTTAAGCAAGACTCGCGAACTAGAAAAATGTAATTCAAGCTTGTAACACGTAAACTAGGCTAAACATTTTAGATCGATGAATCACGAACTAATAAAGTCAAACTATAGCTGGAAAGATTATCGCAACATTATTATCGTATTGGGTGTATATTTTTTAAATCGAAATATGTAGTACAAATATACTGAGACTGAGTAATACTAATACCAGTAAAAGTATTCTATAAGTGTAAATTACATTATAATTTTATATTACAAATACAATTCATAAGAGATAAGACTTAGTATTACTAATACCAGTATTATTTAATAGTAATATTAGTAATAATAATAATTCGGTAATAAACTATCCTGAGTAAGCTACAACATGATTAACTGTAGTGTTACTGTTAGGCCTATTATGTTTGTAAATTGTAGTAATACGTAATATTAATATAACTTTAACAATAATATTAATGAGTTTGTATGTTATACTACAGCTAGATAAAGTATCTGTGCTTGACAGAGTTTTTCTGGGTTTATACTTTTAAATGAAATCAAAGATCATATATATATAAGTTTGTTTTTTAATACCTAGAATTTTAGATAGTAAATAAACTGTTAGAAGGTACATCAAAACTAGAGAATTGATAATGTTACACCTATTTTTAAAGGGGGTGATGAGATTTGCCCTCACAATTATAGGCCAGTCAGTCTTAATAATAATAATAACTCCTATTTCTTTATTAGGAAAAGTTTAGGAAGTCTAATAAAAGAAGTTTTATGATATCATTTAGTGAAGTATGTTATAAATTATAACCAGCATAGATTGATCAAAGGGAAATTGTCTTACTAATCTTTTATCTTTTTTGAAGGATGTTATCTGGATGTAGGAAAGGGTGCTTGGGAATTTACTCTTTCTTATTTGTTAATTATATTGATAGGGGGCATAACTAATAACTTAAAATTGTGTTTTTTTCTGTGAATTGAAGTTGTTGATGTATTACAGAATGACTTGGCTGATTGGTAAGATGGGCAGATATTCTATAATGACCTTTAACTAAATTAGGTGCAAGGAAATGTACTTGGGTTAACATAATTTGTAGTGCATGTATAATGTAAATCTACTGAATAGCATTGCAAAATAAAAATAATTTGGCATTGTGATAAGCCATCAAAGCTGTGCTTGGTTGCTAATAGTAAAGCTAATAGAATATTAGGAGGTACAGTATTTATATAAATCACAGATTAGGCCTCACTTGGAATATTATGTACAGTATTAGTTTTATCTAAGAAAGGGTATTAACTTATTGGGAAGAGTTCAGAGGATGGCTACTATGATGGTTCCAGAGATAGAAGTTTGCTTATGGAGATAGGTTAATATCTCTTATGTTATTTTCTCATGAAAACAAAAGGGTAATAAGATATATTATTGAAGTTTGCAAGATTGTCTGGGGAATCAATATAATAAAAGCCTTCTGATTTCTATGTTCTGTATCCTGAAGACAAAAGGACAAAAGTTTATGGTTTGGAAAAGTGGCTATGGTTCTGTTAAGATGGCTTTTTTTTTTTCCAACAGATGAAATTAGTTTGCCATCAGCATAAGTGGAGGCTGGAATTTTAAGAGGGGAATTGATGAATTCATTTAAAATGAAGTGTGGGTTTAAAAATTTTAATTTTCCTTAGGGGTTGGTGTGCAAAAATGAAATTATCTCTCATTGTCTGTATCTAATGTTAAATAAAATTTAAAACCTATTACCTCCCTTCACTGAAGTTAATTGTAATTAAATACCAACTTTCAAAATGTTTTTAAGGATTTTTAACAAGTTGTTCAAATTTTTGGATGACAGCAGAATCAAACAAACAACTCGGTAAATTTTATTATCTTCCTTCAACCCTTTCTATTTAACATAAAAGTTAGACTGGTTACATTTTGTTCTTTGATTAAACATCTTTTGGTTAGTTATGAACTTGTGTATTGTTTGTGTGATTATGCAGTATAATAATGTTAAATTTGAATTATTTTGGTTTTGTTTGTTGGTGATGTATGGATGTAATAATTACTTTTAATAAAACAATTAAGTGTTTTACCTATTTTAGTGGTATCATGATAAGCCTAATATTGTGCCCTTATGTCACCTTACATTTTCTAATGTTTCAAGTATAAGTAATATTCTCAGGTTCATGATATTTTAAAGCTAAGAGTTAATGTTACTTTATTAATATTCTTTAAGGATCTAGCCTAGATAAAAGCCAGTGTGTGTTACATCAGGTTGATTTCTTGAAATAGGAGGAGTCATAAAAACCAAATTGCATTTATCCACATAGAATAGTGTGTGTTACATCAGGTTGATTTCTTGAAATAGGAGGAGTCATAAAAACCAAATTGAATTTATCCATATAGAATAGTTTGATTACTCTCTGCCCATTACGATTTTAGTTATGGGGTTGAAAGGGGAATGTGATAGGGTTTGTGCTGTGAAACCTTGTAAGTGTAATGAGTGTTGGTATAATAAGCTTAAAGTAAAGACGTTTTGTGGGATCACCTAGCCTAGAGCCAAGTGCATAAAATTTATCATGAAAATAAAAATATTGTTTCAATTTTAAACTTAAATTGTTTCTGAATTAAGCTATTTTCTGTTATACCACAACTGTTTTTAATAAACAAACCTATTTAATCAATGGAGATTCTCAATTAAGAAATCAACAACTATTTTTTCAGTTTTGTTGTCTATACATTTCATTTTATACTTTCAGTACATAGCCTAACAACAATATTACGTTATATTTTTATTGCTAAGCAACATGACATAAAAGTCATTGTTGGAACATAGTGTTACCAAAATGCACTGGCTTCTCTATATATTAGAAGTTGTTAATCTAACTTATTTCTACCAATAATTATTCTGTGAATATGCCACAACTTTATTTCATGAATGATTGTAATTTTGATTGGCTCACAAATGAATTTACCAATGTTTGACTGCCATGACTGCACTTTTCTGGCTCTTTGTTGGTTAAGCTTGATTTTGCAAAAGTTGTATATTTCAGTTAGTTATGAAATGTGAGATTAGGGTATACTATGAGGTAGGGGTGATAGTACTTGCCCCATCATTTCTGAATAGTTATATGCTAGTTTAGAATAAAACTTATCAGGATCAGGAGCTTTACTCTTTCAAAGTGTTTACATACAAAATTTATGACTAAGTTGTGCTTAGGTGTACAAGTTACAAACAACACGTTTACCTGATGTTCTGTTTGTGTAAGTTGACATGCATAGAAAAAGATGTTCAGTGAGGATTATTGTTATTGTACACTTGTGTTTTTGATGAAATGTTACTGCTTGTATCATTAGGTTTTAATACTTTTTCAGAAATAAGATGGAAAATTTTTATTCTTAAAATTTTAGTAATTAATTTTTATGTCTTCATTTGGCACCAGTAGTTAGTCAAAATTATATTTGGAGGAAAATTTAAAATGGGAAATTGCCAGCTGTGTTAATGGAAATTTATACTTTAATCTTTGTACTGAACTCAAGACATTTTGTATACCCCTTATAAAAAGTAACTGACAATTGCCTCCAAGACTGTTAAAAACCTTACTAAACTTACCAATATTGTCCAACACAGTCTGCAGATAACTAGAGACTATCTGTTAACTGGCCTGGTGGTTAGGGTGCTCGACTCTCAATATGAAGGGTGCAAGTAAAAATCCCCATCATACTGAACATGCTCACCCTTTCTGCTGTGGGGGTGCTATAATGTGATAGTCAATCCTAGTATTTGTTAGTAAAAGAGTAGCCTAGGAGTTGATGGTTGACTATTTGCCTTCCCTCTAGTCTGTCACTGCTAAATTAGGGACAGCTACACAGATAGCCATTGTGTAGTTTGTGTGAAATTCAAACCAAACAAAATCTCTTAAGCTATGAATTCTTTATGTAGAGATAGTTAAAAATGCATCTTTCATAGATTCAGCCGTCAAACTATTCTCATCATTTGCACTTAGTAATTATGTGCTTTTGTCAGAAACAAACCTGTCAGTATTATTATAATGCTAAATTTGTGAATATCCAAATGAAAAATTTTCAGAACTATTTACTTACTGAAATTTTACAATAATAATAAATCCAATTTAAAGCATTTAACAGTGCTAAGTGATGATTTTCCTTTAGTAACTATAGAACTTTTCTTTCCTAACACAATAAAACTGGTATTTTTTCTACCCGTCCTGGTAATTAAAAAATGGTAAAACCATGAAAATAACTGTGATTATAGTACATTAAAATATATGATACATGAATATCACTTGATTTCAATATCTTCAAATTTTTGTTATTGAAAATGTTATCTTTAGTATGAGCTTTTTCATAAATTATCACCAACGAATATAGGTAAATTGCAGACAGTGTTGTTTTCAATATTGTATATGTGAATACCAAACAACAACTACAGTTTTCCTACAAGAGACTCCCAGAAAACATTACCAGTTAAGTTTGTCAAATCTGGAAAATTTCCATTTAACATAATTGCACATTGTTATTCCTATCAACAGGCTAATTTTTATTTCACTAACTCATTAACAATCTAACTTGTCATTAAATATTTATTGAAAATCATATTGAACAGTGTGAGTCAATATGAATGATACTCTGAGATATTGTTATACAAGTAAGAAGTCTGAATGATGAATTAATATCATTAAGTATGGAGGTACTTAATAGTAGGGATCATGATGAAACAAAATGGTGGCCATAAAAATTGTCCATTTAAAACCACCTTTAAAATGTCTGAATATTAACAATTACTATTTCACAGTATTGGCTGAACAAAACTGAAGCTTATTGTACTTATAAAGCCTCCTAATTTGCTATATATGTGTTTATGGAGTTGAATAAAAATTTCATTATTTCAATGAATTTTCATCTAAGTAACTAAAGAGACTTTTTCAGAATAGCATATAGAAAAATGATGAACCTTATTGCTCTTATTCTTTCACAAACTCTTCTGTCTGGAATCCAATGATTCCTTTCTTGTACTGAAAATTTCAGAATTTTTTGTACACACACACACACACACACACACACACACACACACACACACACACACACACACACATATATATATATATATATATATATATATATATATATATTAATTAGTTAGTAGAGAC